CAACCATAAAAATAAAGAAAAGACAAATAAGAAAAATGGAAAATTTAAAATTAAGGTTATGATTTTTTTTTTAAGGACCAAATACCAGGATAATAACAAAGAGTTTTGGTTTTTTGCATCACTTGTTATTTCAATCTTTAAACCAGAGGTTAAAATACACACAAAGCTCTTCTTCCCCTAGGCAATCAGAACTGCTAACAAAGCTGGACTAACACACCTACTCTCAAAGAACAGAATTTGGTGTGCTGATACTTTAATAAAACTATAACATGCCCGATGTAAGCCATAAATTCATGTTTTTAAGATGAACACAATTGAATCACCTTGGGTTTGAATAAAGTCAAACAACTTGTAACTGATTAGATTTAATTACGTTGCCATGAAGAGATGAAAACGCGTTGCTATGGTCATGCGGATAAAGCAACCCAATGATGGCGCAGACAAGAAGTCACCCTCACAGGACCTCCCTGCAAGGAATCATGGGAAGAAGACCCTATGTCACGCACGTGGAAATGGTAAGTTGAAATCCTTTACCATCCGGCTAAATACTAACGAAATAGTGTGTAAAATTATCAGCAGTATCCCGTCATTTTAGCGATCTTTAGTTATGATGGAAGAGACTTCCAAAACCGCCAACAACACTTCAAACACACAAAACAATCTACATTTGATTTTTTTTTTTTTTACAAATCAGATCCTGCATCTCTCCCAAAGTCATATTGAAATCTTGCACCATTGTTTGACCCAAAACTTATATGTTACTTGTTTTTTTTTTCCTTGTTTTTTTTTTTTTGGGGGGGGGGAGAACCTTTTATTTGTTGTACCTCTGCTACATATACAAAGACACATTCAAAGGTCCACCCTATAGGCAAGTCATCAGTCTATTGTAGGACATCACAGGAGCATGCAACCATCTTTTTGGACTGGAGGAAACTGGAGTTACCCAGAAATAATGCATGCACAAGGAGAACATTCATTGTCAGGGTGTTGACTTTGCAGCAACCAACTTATTTCTTAAGATTTTTAAAACATATAGTCAATATTTTTGATCATACCAACCTATTAATATATTTGGATTAACATTAAATGCAGTGCATGGAATAAAACACAAAGACCCAATGAAATCTAGGTGATAAACCTTTTTTTCTTTCACTGCGTTTTTCTTTTCTTCCTCTTCTCCTATGTGTAAACAGTTGACAAACCCGCACCTCATGGCCCCCTATAACGCTGTAGTAAAAATTATCTAAATGTTTCTGTGCAAATTGCTTGGATTTAGCTGACCTAAAAATAATACTATGTAGGTTCCCATCCCACTCATTTCTTAAGATTTTTAAAACACGTCTATCTTTTTGATTATACCTACCTATTAATGTCTTTGGGTTAATATCAGATATACATAGAATAAAACTTATTTTGTGTTTACATATTTTGGCTAAAAATAGAAATAAAACTGGAAATTGATATTACTGGAAGTAATAAGACTTTCTGTTCATAAATCCAAAAGAAGGCATAGATAGAGTAATAATAATAATAATAAAAGTAATCTACATAAACAGTCAAACAAAACATCAACTCACTCTGCATTTGCATCCAAACTATCCCTTTGAACACTTTACCTCACTCACAGCCATATCAGCCAAACATACCTCATTAAGTTGACACATTTTGTTCTGGGTTGTAAGTCTCCCCCTAATGTTGTCATCCAATCCATTAAACAGTCATTCTTTCTTTTTCTCTCCATCTATCTTCACTTAACCTCCGTATGCTCTCTGGAAACCAGCTGACACTGTGCGTGCCACAATAGCAGCTCTGCTGGCTCTTTGCTGTGGTGCCTCCGAGAAGGATGCTGATCACTATGCTCTCTTTGGGAGACTGGAAAATAGATTGGAAGAGGGGTATTTTCAAAGATCGACTAGCAAATGTTCGCCGCAGTATGTTGTGTCACATGAGGTATATGATGTTAAGGGTCTTGCATGTATTTGCAAAAAAATAGGATGAAAAAAAACAAGTGTATATATCATGAATAAGTCAAGAGTTTCACAAATAATATATGGGATGCTTGAAGCTCCAAAAACACTCACTGTATTTGCTGATATATGGGAGGCTGTTTGGTTTCTAAATAGCTCTCCTTTTCACAGACATATGCATAGCCTTTCAAAAAATATTTGTTTCCCCTGGACCTTTTCACATTTTGAGGTGTTAAAATATAAACATTTAGTGTGTGTATATTCTTTAATCCTATTCTTATCTTCAGGTAACAGAAAATACATGTCAGATTAAATAATACTACTTATATTTATGCGATAGTATCTAGGTGTTACTTTATTGTATGTCTCGTACCATGTCCGTTGGTTGTGCTGTTCTTTTTACATCTCTTTGCAGGCAATGAAGCAGACTGAAAAAGTTTTATCGTTATCTCCCTTTTATCTCCTCTTTCTTTAATCTTTTCTCCTTTTTTCCAATTTTTCCTTTCCTGTTCTACTAACATTGCAGTGTCCATATAATCTGTAAAATTCCCTGCGTAATTATAATAAAGCTATTTATATGCATAAATCAAGCGGAACACTATGGCGATAGTCATACTGCTCCACTTGTGAAAGTAAAATCTGTTGGGCTCTTTTTGGCATCAAGACAATTATTCTTATTGCCGCATCGCCAGACAGGACAATGCTAAAAAAAAAAAAAAAAAATTCAGTGTGTGGTTTATTGAGATTTTATGCAACGCACTAACAAAAAGACAAGAAAATGTTTTTATTATTTTATTTTTTTTATCTACAAACTGTAAAGTGGGGGCTGCATTAGTTTAAGATTTATGTCTACCAATTTAGACTTTTTTTTTTTTCCCCAGTTTTTCTTCATCATATTCAAGCTGTCCTTTTGGGTGAAAATGTCTAGGGAATTGGTTTTTACCTCTTGCCAGAATTTCTAAATTCAAATTAGGTCAAACATTAAATTAGGCCTGTCTAACACATGAATATGCTTAATCTAAAAATTGGCCTCTCTATCAAACCCTCAGAAAACCTGATTTTGGTTTTCTTCTGTATTTAGCGCCATTCATCTTCCCATAACTTCTTACCAGGTTCCTTGTCTCTGCAGAATGAAACCAAGGTGTTGCCACCAAAATAGTTCTCACAGGGGCGGGTGATGTGCAACATTAGTTTTTACAACATGATCATTTAAATAAAGGCCAAGAAAATGAAATTTGATCTTATCTGACCAGAGTACCTTCCTTTGCATAAGTCTGTCCACTTCACAGTTCATTGCATTCTGCAGACTGGACATTCAATGTTTTTTTGTTTTTTTTTTCATGCACATTATTGATAAATAATACATTTCTGGAGTCCATGGTCAACAGTTGTCTTATAGAGAAATTCTGTGGAAAGCCATGGCTTAGAAGATTTACAATTAGACAATACTTTTTCCATTCTTGGATAATCATTTAAAAAGAACGTCTTTCCCTGAGATATGAACAACTCTGGATATGGTTTTACAACTAGAGCCTTCTTAAAGGCTGCTCTACAAAATACTCATTGACTGCTTCAGTTTCTTGTTCTTTATGGTGCTGGCGGTTCAATAATGCTCTCATACAAACCTTCAAGGCCTTTACAGAATAGCTTAATATAAGTTGAAATGAAAGACAGAGATGTCAAACAGATCCCTCCTTTCTTCATCAATTACATCAATATTCAATGCAATAGTTTGCACTGGATTTTATTTTATAAGCATCAGAGTAGGGACTTCTGTATACAAATGCATCCCACCTTTTTTGCGTTTGTATTTGTGACATTATTTGGAAAATATTAAAATCTGACATCTTGTTATGTGTGTTAATTATTGATATTTTGCAAGGGACTGTAATCAAGAGGATACACTTTATTTAATTGAAGGTAATCGTTCTTATATGGGGCCAAACATTACTCTGTAACAGAGCAAGAGGCCAGATACCAGTGCTGACATGATGCCGGCCCACAGAAAGCAATCACAGCTCTTTCAACACCTTCACCAACAAAAGCAGTAGGAAAAATCCTTCACAAAATCCAAAATAGTACTTTATTAGCTTTTTGATGGATTTTAAATGTCACTCCTACGTAAAGCTAGAGGCACCACATTTTTTTGAAAAGGGGGAACAATATATTGGATTTGTATGTTATTGTTTATTTTCCAATCCTAAGCCATATCAATATTCTGTCCAATCCTAAGAAAAAAAATGTTTCACTTCACAGTGCTATGTTGATGAAGTTGTAAAAAAAATGATAACAGTAAAGAAACCTTTCACAAAAATCCAACTACACCATTTCTCATCTGTGATCTGTCAGAACAGAGGTCCTGTTGTCTGCCATTAACTGAGCGCTGCCCAACCACCGCTGAATATTAATGGGAGCCTTTTCCCCTGGATCATCAGCGTGTGCATTTAATTGACAAACCCTATCTGCATCTTCTAGATTGGAGATGTATCAGAGATGTATCTTGTGAATCAGCATACACACCCACCCCCACACACACACCTGCTTAAGATTAGTTATGTTGCAGCTAAGGAGCATGTGAGTCTAATTAAGCTGTCATCATTCGACGCAATAAAAAACCCTATCAGAATGATCTATACCCTCACATCATAGGGAAATGAGGGTCCTGCTGAGAAGAGCAACCGTCTGACTGATGATGAGCTGATTCCAATTAAATCACTCTGATGTCTTCTTGTTGGCGGCCGCATGCTGCTTATACAAAGTAAGCTGATCATGTTGGGATGTGACAGCTTATCAACAGGCAAGGCCAATCCAAGGCACCCTCCCCTTACCCTTCTGAAAGGAAGAAAATGTGTGCTATAGCAACCACTTCCATTGAAACCTCATTCTCTTAGTGGTGACGGTGCGTCAAGATGAGCATGGTGCGCAATGTGCAAAGTCACCAATATTGTGCACAGATTAAGACGATGACAGGATCGAGGGGGAGGAGGGGGGGAAAGGGGGGGTTAGGGTGTCCTGGTCAGCATATTGGTTTACCTTAAAGAGGTGATGTGTGCGCCGGGGATTTAAGAAGATCTCGATGACGCTGACCCGTCCATCCACTGCACGATTCTTCTGTGCTCTGATCTTTATTTATTATTTTTTTTAACTAGGCCATTTCTCCTCTGATCGCAGTTATTTCTCAAGAGGGCAGCGCGCGACGCAGGCTCTCGCAGGGCAGCGGGTTATACACCTTCTTCTGTCTTTCTCCGGCTTTTCCCAAAAAAAGAGAGAAAACACACCTCATTCTTCGCCCCCCCACCTCCTCCTCCTCCTCTCGTTCCCCTCAGACTACACACACCCCGCTCTCTTTTCCTTCCAACACCGATATTTGACTTTTTTTCTGAGGCTAAGAAAAATGGTGCAGAGAACCCAATTTGAACGGGTATGTGGATAGGGAGGGATAAAAAAAAAGGCTCACTGGGAGACAGATGCGTAACGCAATAGCGTCAAGATCCTGTGCGCTGCTTCAAAAGTGAACGCACTGCTGTGTCCTCTCTTCCCCATATGTGCGCGCTGATGGTAATCCAAGGTGGGATCCGCTCAACTATATACCATATACTATGAAAATAAACAGCAAAAAGCAGGTTTTGTCCTTAGGTATAAAGGAGCGCCTCAAAGGTGTCCGATCTTGTCTTGCTTTACGCGCGTGCGTGCCGCGCTCTCCCGGCTGGAATAACAAACAGAGCGGGCATCCTCCGTTTGGACCTCATGATGTGAGAGAACGAAGGGCGCGATCAGACGTTAAGGGGAATCGGGCGAGCGAGTATAATGTGAAGCCTGTCGATGCCCGCACCGGCGCAGAGCTCCGCGGCTCGTGGTTTGAAGAGCCCACCTCTCTCCTTCCGTCAGTGCGAGTCTCATCGACTCCCCTCGTTTATAGGACACGCGCTTGTAAAATCTCAGCGTCGCAGCTTACTGTGGGCTTCGTGACGACGAGGTGCGACGTATAATGCCATCAACAGGCACTGCTGCTTGAATCATGAAATCATGCATCTGTTAGTAATTGAAGAAATCTATTTATATGATTGTATTTGATCATCAAATGTACTTGTTTTATTTTTTTATTTAGTTTTCAAATTTGTGCATTGGTGCCGATCAATAATACACTATATTACCATAGGTGGTAGTAGTAAATGTAGTAAATGTAAAACGACACGTGTATTAAAAATAACACCACTATTAACAATAATAATTCCTTGTTGTAGCCTATTAAAAATAAATCTTGTGCTCATTCTACAACTAGCCGCAAATTGACCACAAGGGGGCAGCAAAAGCAAGCCCGCTTAATGCAACTTGCCTGAGCATCAGTCATTTTATCAATTGATTCTTTGATGACCCTGGGTCCGATAATTGCTCTCCATTATATTCTCTTTGGTCTCCTGTGAGAAATATCTTTGTTTTTATCCAAATGGTGGAGTTTGTCTGCACCGTGCTGCTGTGGTTGCATGCAGTAGTAGAGTAAGAAAGTATGTGACACAGATGTACTGACAGACAGACGGACAAAGAGATGGGTGGAAGCATGGGTGACTCGAAATATATGCCCTTTTTGGTATGACAGCACAGATTAAGCGGAATTTAACTATAATCGTTTTTTACACATGCAACCAAACTGATTTAGTGAGGGCCCACATCATGTCACTTATCATTACATTATCAATGGGGCCACACATTTTCCCTGTTTCTTCCCCCACTTTACACATTGCTATAATGTATGTCACCTAATGTCACATTTTTAAAAGATAAATTAAAATGAAAGCTCATGGCCCGAAATATTATGCTAAGAGTTTTATGCACTGTGTTTTGGTTTTTACTATTGGGAGCCTGTGGCAAACAGGGAATGAGTCTAGCTATAGGTATAGTAGAGTTAAACAGAGAAAACATCTGAAACTTAGTACAAGTTTTAATAATTCAACTCTGAATTCTCCTTGCAGCGTCTTGGAGGGCAGCCAACTATCTCGAGTAATCTTTGGGTGAGGGGGGTACATCCTGAATGATACTTTTTTCTTTGAAAAAACTAATTCTTGTATTAGATACAATTATATATTATATATCACAAGGACAGTTTTCAATGTATTATTCACTTCAATGTTTTTAAGGTTATTTAAAGGTAGACTTGTTTGTCTCATACATCCAAAGAATATTTACTCAAAAAGTCTAGGGGAACACAAAGATTTTTCTGAAAGAAAGACAGGTATGTTCTTTTTGGCAATAGTTTTTACCTTTAATAGAAGTTATCTAGTCTCTTTCTTAAAACTGAATACCCTGTAGATGACTTGTGTATGAGTTCTTTGAATAGTTTTGGTCAGCTAGCCATTTATACCTGAAAATAGTATGTGTAGTCTGTGGGGCTTTACTGTTTTTCTGGTGTGACTGTGCAGGTGAAGATTCTCAGTCATCCAGGTCATAGTAATTCGAAAAAAGTTTAAAAATTACCCACTGGATGTTAGAAGACATTTCGCTTCCCATCCAGGAAGCTTTTTCATTTCAAAATCTTAGAATTAGCGATGAGGTCGAAGGTTTATAGAGTAGCTCAAAACAAAGTCTTGTTTTGGCTTAGAAAACATGCAAATTGAACCGAAACGAAAGCTCCGGCCCTTAGGAATGGGGAGTCGTTGAGATCTTTTGTTAGCCTCCAATACCCAATACTGATCTATGCCTCTGAAAGAGGGGTCGTTAGGGGCATTGTTGGCCAGCTGACCAGGTGAGATCTGACTGGGGTTGTAGGTTTTTGAGAGCTAAAACCTGAGTTTAACAGAGGGGGTGGACTCAGGTTTCAGCTCTCAAAAACCTACAGTACAATGCAGCAGATCTCACCTACATTCTTCTGGACCTCGAGTACAATCTGCAAACCCAGATTAATCAAACACCTAAAGATCCATGCTACCTCCCCTTTATCTCTCAAGTAAGCATATCAATCAGGCATCAGTTGTCATCAACCAACTCCTTCCTGATCATCCTGCTATCTCTCCTCAGACCAACCAGAAAGTTATTTTCTAAATAAAATGTTAACTCACTGGTTATCAATGTGTTTCTGCATGCTGGTCAAAAAACTACAAACCAACATTTAATGAACTCAGAATGTTGGACCCAGAATTATTAAAACAAACACGGACGCGGGGCTGCTTGTCAGCTGCGGGGTGAATCTCTAATTCAAAGTTCAGTCCGATCCTGGAGGAAAGAGGTGAATCTAAAAGGGAGGTTACTCCCCAGCTTGAGGCATGAGATGTCCCCCCAGAGTTCCTAGAGATAGAGCAGAGCAGGCACCAGCCGACGCCAAACAGCAACAGTGTCCTTGAGGGGAAATCCAAAGCCGGAGTCAGAAGACAGGTCCAAGTTCAGAAGCCCGTAGAATCCAGGAATCAGTCCAGAACAGATCAAACCAACTGAGCAGACAGGGGCAAACCAGAAATTGGGATCCACATGGCAGAAACTGGTCCCAATCAAGAAAACAACACAAGATTCTAATCGCTGGAGTTAATCTCATCACAATATATACTAGGCAAGCAAACAAAATAAATAGCAGAGGAACCAGGTGGAAATGATCGGCGCTAATCAGTTGCTGGACCAATTAAAAAGGTGAGCAGGAGCAAATCAAAAAACTGAACCATCAGCACCAAGAACATGCAGAACCCCACCCTCAAGGGTGGTTTCCAGGCGCTCCAACGGGCTGACCAGTATGATCCCTGTGGAAGATCCTAAAAAGGTCCTTATCTCAGATCAACCAGGCTGGAATCCAGGACCTCTCCTTGGGTCCATAACCCTCCCAGTCGACTAAATACTGGAGCCCCCTGCCAGTCCTCCTGGACTTCAGGATGCGTTTGACCGCGAAGGCAGGGCCCCCCTTGCCTGAATCGAATCTTGTGGGTGGAGGTGATCGGAAGGGAATTATCTGCCCTATCCCCATAAAAAAAATCCACTTGACCAGCCTCAGAAGAAGGGGGAGACAAGGTCCGGTGGTGCTGGGGCAGTGGTTACTGGAGGATCTGGAGTTCTGAAACTATATTAGTTTTGGGTAGCAGGAGAGCTGGGGAGACAGAGAATCTGGTACATCCCAGCCTATATTTACACCTTGCAGGACAAGACCTCAGTAAATGTCCACCACTGCCACAGTAGAGGCGGAGCTGAAACCTGATGCAACAAGCCCTCTCCTCCTTGGAGAGGCATGTGTGTCCCAGCTACAGCGGTTCGGGATCCGGCATCCGACCCGGACCAGAGACTAATATAGGTACAAAGGGAGTGGGGTGAGGAGCAGGTAGAGGAAAAGCTGATGTCAGTGCTCCTTTTTCTCTGCGATGCTCCATGAGGCGAAGGTTGATGCAGTTGGCAAGTTCCTCCAGCTGCTTCAGAGTCCAGGGTTAGTCGCGGGTTGAAAGCTTGTCCTTATTGTTGTCACAAAGGCCAAAGAGAAATACATCCATGAGGGTGTCCTCATTCCAGGAACTCTCCGCTGACAACAGCTGGTAGTCAGTGATATACTCCAACATGGACCGATTTCCTTGTCTGAGTGTCAAAAGACCCCTGGAGGCTTCCATACTAGGAAGGACGGGCAAAATTAGAAAGGTGAACAGGAGCAAATGAAAAAATAAATACAGCAAGAACATGACACAGTAATTCATCAATGTTTGCTCTTTCTGTGGATAGTGGCTCTCATTTAGATTCACTGAATTCTCTATTTCTTTGAAATAGTTATATCCTTTTATTGACTGATTGGATGCCCCTTTGTATTAAATCTCTATCTGAAGTTTTGTTTTAGATCAGAGGCATGGTGTGTCTATTTGTAATATATTGTAGTCTATTGCATGAAGTCAACCTGGTTTTAACTATGGGATTCAATGATAATACAGCTCTGGAAATATACAGATCTGATTGTGGGACGTGAAATTTCATTCAATTTTTAAAGTAATACCACTTATCACAAATGTTTGATTAAGCAAGATAGACAAGTGTACTTTTATCATTACTATTTTATCTTCCTTTAAAGACCTTCATTGGTTGATCTAAAACACATTAACACGTCAAATACATTTATAAAATGAGGTGGCAAATACTTTTTAAAAGCAGAGCAGCTTTTGAGAAAAAAGAGCTCCAGTGTTTTACAGTTGGAGATTTTGCCAACTTTAGATTTTGAGACTAAAGATTTAAATAAAGATCTACATCAACATAAATCCATTTTAAAGGAAAAAGCAGGATATTTAGTAAATTTTGACAGTAATATCATCAGATTTAATTTGTGCAAAGAAAGAACAGATAATTACACTGATAAAAAGCTCTGAAAACCCAGATTAAACCCCCTCTGAAAACTGTTTACAGGTTAGCACATTTAGCCACTACCTGTATAATAGTCTATAATGAAATGTATCAAGCGTTGACTAGATCATGCTGGGGTTGTTAATTTAGCTTATAATGTTTGCTTGGTGAACTGTAGCTGAACATGAACCACTTCCATCTTAACTGTGTGTTTGATTTGCACAACATTGTCTGCAACACTTTCCTTTGCTGTGCTTTCCATTGCTTTTCTTGTAGTGTTAAGGACATTATGACTGCTTTAACATGTTCCCTTTTGTAGAGCTCTAAATCTGTTTTATTTTACTCATGTTCAAACTTGTGCTGAGAAAAATTATGTAGGAAAGTTTAAAGTGTCCATGGAGATCTAGAATCCATAAATACGAGATTATAGTTTTTTCATCAAAATATCAAAGTCAGTCCTGCTGATTCTTTAAAACTTTTTAATTTTTGACCAGATGACTTGCCATATATGTGCTAAAAGTCTTCCATGTCACATAAAATGTGTTCAGTGGCGCACAACTTTAGCTGAAAGATGAAAACCATCTCAACGGTCCTTGTGCAGAG